CCCCTCAGATTGTGATTGTGGTCTCGAATCCCTCAGAGCAGCCCAAGATCAGTAAAGCTAGGAGGGATACTACAATGTCTGAGTAGCCCAGGGTGGAAAACCAGTCCTGATTCTTAGGACCCATAACCCCCATGTAAGAGGGCTATAAAGGTGATCTAAAAGACCTTCAAAGTGATACGAGTTCCTCCCTTTCAAAGTCTGAAGAAGAAATGTAGGTTTCTTCAGAAAAGGGAGGGGCAGTCCCCCTTGGAGTCTGTAGTGGTCAGGGTATGGAGGACACCAGCAGATCCAAAGAAACCAAGGGACAAGATGGCCGGAGTACCAACAAGGTGATTGGTACTGGCAGAACCAATGGTGCTGGCATAATAATGTGGAGAGACATGCTGTCTGCCCAGACTACATCAAAGGCGCTGGCATTGCTGAGCAGGCTGGTGGTGCTGATTGTGCTGAAGGTGCTGATCGTATCAACTGTGCCAAAGTCACTGAGTTGCCCCAACTGGAGCCGGGTATAACAATGGAAAGTCTGGTAAGGGGAGACACAGATTCCTTTGCAGACAGGAATGCCTGAGGAGCCAGTGGGACCAAGACAGGTAAGACTTCAGCTAGGATAGTTGAACAGCCAGCAGTGCCAATAGGGTCTGAATCAGCTTTACTGACCATGTACCAAGTAAGGATGAAGAGACTACTCTCAATGGCCCCAAAGGAGCCGAAGTTGACACTGTCACCACAAATGGAGCCCGTGAGTGCTTATGACACCTCAAACCAGTAGTGGAGTGCTTACTGGAAGCCTTCTTATGAGATGAAGGATCAGAATGCTGGGAGTGCTCTGAGGAGGCTGGGGAGGAGGGTGAAGAGTGACGTTTTCCCATCAATTTCTGCTTGGGATCCCAGGTAGCAAAAGGAGCACTTCTTGTCGACTTGATTTAATTATTTTGTTGTTGGGGTCCAGTTAGCAAAAGGGATGCATTACCCTGCTTCAGCAGGGCTTTGAGGTGGAAATCCCTCAGTCTCTTAGTCCTGGTAGGGAAGGAGGTACAAGTACTGCACATGTCCCTTACCAAGGCAAATCAAGAAGCTTTTATGCCTGCCTGTCACATGGAAAACAGCTCTGCATGTGGTACATTGCTTGAATCCTGATGACTTTTCTTCATTCCAAATGAACAGTTTTTTCCTAAACTAGAACTGAGTAATTACATTAACTTATAGCTACACTAGAACTACCTATACATAGCTATATACAAAACAATTATTTAGAAAGCTGGCAAACCTAAGCTAAAGGTATGGGGAGCTCCAGCTCTTGCCACGGGTTGCGTGAAGGAACTAAGAGGGAGGCAGTGGATCAGCCCTTTTTATGCCCTTGGCTAGGTGTACAAGATGGGAGAGGGCACATGCAGCACCTAGTGGTACTACTGGCAAAAGTCTCTGACTCGAGTGCATTGGGTGCACGTACACCTGCAGTGTAACGTGTAAGTGCACAGTCACTCAAAAGAGAATATGTAAGTATGAACAAAAATAAGTGTATAAAAATAACTACATGCAACTAACATATGAGCCATTGTTACCAGGATCTGTTCACTTATTTGCTGTAATTCTTTCCCACGCCCTTTGTCCGTTCTCCCTCCCTCCTCCTTTTCAAGATTAAGCTCTTCTAGGTAAGGACTGAGTTTTCTCATATCTATACTGAACCTAATGCAGTGTGGCCCGAGTCCTGAACGGGTTCTGAGGGTTACCAGCATATAAGTATGATTAACAACATTAGACCACTGTTGTATCTACAACTGAATGTACTTGGCAACTAGTGATTTTGGATTTTTTTTTTAAATAGTGTTTTTAAAATGTTGTCTTTGCTTAAGTACTTTTAATGTGCTCAGGCTAAACAATACATCAGTAATAGACATTTTCACATATACCAGTAATAGAAGTCTTCTGTAAAATCTTCTGTAAAATCTAGTTTCTCACCTTTTCAAAAAGCCAAGTTAATGCATGCTTCTTACCTTTCCTGGATATTTAACAAAAAATATAAATTCCTTATGGACACATTGTATTTTGCAGTTTACCTACATCAGGCAACTGAAAGCTCACCAGCCGCCATGAAATTTAGAACACTTAAAATCCTCATTTTGTCTTTATGGACTATTTTATTCAAATGACTTGGCTGAAATCTGTAATCTGGTTGGCTGAAGAGGCTTTCTATCCATATCATCTCTCTATAGACCAGCGGTTTTCAAACTATTTGAGCTGAGCCCCCCCATTTGAGTTACAATTTTTGATTGCAGACCCCCCCCCCATACCTGCCCCTCCCTCCCTTGGGTTTTCAGGGTAGGGGGAAGGTGCACGTGATGGTCTCTAGGGGCAGAGCCAGCACTGGGCATGTATATGCTGACACTGACCCATAGGCTGGGTGGCCTGCTGAGGTGAGTCATGGGTAGAGATGGCACTCCCTGCCCAACACCCTCCCCACACACCCACGCATGGCTGACCCGAGCCCCCCTGAATATTTCTCCATGGCCCCCTCTGGGGGCATGCCCCACGGTCTGAAAAACTCTGCTATAGACACACTGAAATCATAAAGCCTCTTCACCAACGCAAGTGGCAACAGAGAGTTAGACAGTTTTTAAAAAAATCTCAGAGTAGTCCTTTTGAATTAATTTTAACGCTTCAAGAGTTGTTGTATGCAGTGTTGTAGCCTTATCAGCCCCAGAATATTAGAAAGACAAGGTGGCTGAGGTACTCTCTCTTATTGGGCCAACTTCTATTGGTGAGAGAGACAAACTTTCGAAAGTTTGTCTCTCTCACTAACAGAAGTTGGCCCAATAAAAGAGATTACCTCACCCACCTTGTCTCTCAAGAATAGTTGCTAATTCTGTAGTAAAGAATCAGGACTGAGTTGTATAATCCATAAAGTTCTTCCAGATACACCTGTATAGTGCATTGAAAATATTTTTGCTTCTCTACAATAATGTTCAAGGTAAGTTACAGTATCTAAAACCAAAAGAAAAAAAATAAAGTACTCCAATAGCAGTTAGCACTAGCTTCAATCAAGTATGTAAGAGATCAGTCAGAGTCCTCCAGTCCCCACTGGAACCTGAGCAAACAGCGTGGGACTCTAAGCCCAGCAGCCTAGCCTCTCCAACCCCTACCACTACACGGGCAATAGGGATACATATTTGCTCCAACACCTAACTCCAATGGAATGGAGAGTGGTCTTGCTCTATCTTTCTTTAGTGAAACAAGCCTGCAACAAGCCTCATAGTGGCACCCTATGTTGTATTGCAGACTCTCAAGCTTCAGGTGCACCAGCTGTTGAAGATCATTCTAGTAGCCAAGAAAGGCTGTGAACATCTAACCCAGAAGTAGCTTCTCACATTTCTGTATCACATGAACCAAGGAAGAGATTTCCGGGCTGCTATCTCCAATCACAGACGGAGGGTTTAAATTCTTCATATTTTCCCACGTTAAAAGAATCAGAGATTTGACAAGCCTTCATCCAGAGCCTGATAGAGCATTTGCCCAGGTAGGACTAGGAGTGCCTACTGAAACCAGAGCCAGCTCCTCTGCTGAACAGCCAGTGAGACCTCTGATCACAAGGAGGGGCCACTCAACACCAGGAGAGGCAGTGTCATTCAGTACACAAAGCACTGTCTAAAGGAAAAGGGACTCCTGGATTTTATTTCACCCCTAACACTGATAAGTAGAGCCCTGTGCAGATATAAAAATTTGGATCCCCTTGGAAAACTAAGAGTTTATGCAACTGTGCTGACAGACCCATAATCATGTAATTTCAATCATAGCTGTGTAAAAATAGGGACTTTGTCCAGCAGCTTGGTCACAGAATGTTCTTTCAAAAACAGGAGGGTCGTCAACTAGACCTGGATCCTCTCAACCAGAGGTGGGCAAACTACGGCCCGCAGGACCGTCCTGCCCGGCCCTTGAGCTCCCAGACGGGGAGGCTAGACCCCGGCCCCTCCCCGCAGCCTCAGCTCGCTGTGCTGCCAGCACTCTGGGCAGCGGGGCTGTGAGGTCCTGCCAGGCAGCGCGGCGGCATGGCTGGCTCCAGCTGGGCAGCGCGGCTGCCAGTCCTGCTGCTCTGAGCAGCATGGTAAGTGGGTGGGGAGCAGGGGGGTTGGATAAGGGGCAGGAAGTCCTGGGGGGCAGTCAGGGGACAAGGGGAGGGTGGATGGGGCAGAGGTTCTGGGCGGGGACGGTCCCAGAATGGGGAACGGGGGGGGGGGGGGGGGGGGGTTGGATAGGTGTCGGAGTCCCAGGGGGCCTGTCGGGCCGAGGGACAGGGTCCAGGGGGGGCACTTAGGGGTGCAGGGTCCCCGGAGAGGGTGGTCAGGGGACAAGGAACAGGTGGGGTTGGATGGGTGGGAGCTTCTGCGGGGGGCAGTCAGGGGGCGGGAAGTGGGAGGGAACAGGGCCAGGCTGTTTGGGGAGGCACAGACTTCCCTACCCAGCCCTCCAAACAGTTTCGGAACCCCGATGTGGCCCTCAGGCCAAAAAGTTTGCCCATCCCTGCTCTAAACTGAAGCCTGTGAGGAAGTACTCATTAATGGCCATAGCAAGAAAAGGAATTTTATCTATAGTCCGTCATAGATTTGTACTCAAAATTAGCTACACTATGGACTTGTCTACATTACAAAGACTTGGCCAGCATAGCTACACCAGCAGAGCCCCCTAGTATAGAAGTGGCGTAAGCCAGCACAAGTTCTTTTCCCAGCATAGTTGCACCATCTCCACAAACATTAACTATGCTGACAGAAGCTAATACCTGCCCCTCTGTCAGCAGAGCAGTGAGGGCTTTGCCAGGAGAGCTATGTCAGGTAGGAGGTGTGATTTTTTTCACACTCCTAGTGGACATAACTATGCTAGCAAAACTTTGTAGTGTAGAACAGGCCTATGTAAGCAGACACTTTAGGTATCCTTTTAGACGGACAAAGACTTCAATGAGGAAAAGATTAGAGGTGAAGAAACAAAGGAAGGTTATTATAAATAGGTACCTTGTGGTATTCCACTATTTTTGACTTGGGGTTCAACCACTTGAATTGTGTCATCTTCAAGATAGAAGTATATTTTACAATGTCTTATTCTATATAGCTCTTGATTTTTTTCAGGCACTTCTTCACCAAAATAGGCATCAAAAGACAATACCTACAAAAAAGCATAAATAAATAAATATAAAGAAGCGAAGTCTTTATCCAGTGTGTTTGCAATAAAAAAGATGTCAATAAAGGGAAGTTGTACAGATGCACAATTAATTATAAAGATAACAAAATGTGTGCATTTCAGCAGGTAGATTTACTTTTCAGAAATATAAGAATACGAATCCACATGAAATCGCATATTTTTATATTCTTTTGGGTGGCATTTTTATCACCAAATCTGAGTAGAGAAGGAAAAAAAAAATCAAATATTAAGCTATCAGCAGACTACTGTCACAGAGAAACCCCATATAAGCTTCCTATAACTGGGTGCCATTTAGGGCTGTACAAAACAATCACTTCAAAACTTACCGGGTTTTGTGTTTCAGTGAGTGTGTGAACCTCAGGGAAGGCTGGGGCTGGCCTCGCCAAACACAAATCTAGATCCTCCCTTCCTTTAATTTACAGTAGTAGTAATCCTAAAATAATGTTTGTGAGTGCACTGCTCAGTAGTTTACTACAGCAGCTTTCACCTCTAGAGACCCTGACATCTTCCATATGGTTACATGTACTAGTGAGTTTTGCTCATCTATTACTACTCATTTGTGCACATAGCAAAACTACTCAACAATTTGGCACCATTTATTGTCTTTATTCGTGAGGTCAAGCTTGGGGAAAATTGTAAAAAATGTTTGTATATGGACCAAGAGGAAAGTAAGCACAGCACAAACAGGCAAGAAAACACGAAGGAAACTTGCATAGTTTTCCCTATCGTGTCCAGCTCAAATCAGTGCTAACTAGTACCTCTTTCATAAGCATTATATTTTCAAGATTTACGTAATGAAAGAATGCATTTTTAATCTGGAATCCATTGATAAAATTGACCAATGGAAGAAAGACCCTATCTATCCATTCTTCATGCCATACGGGTACTGATGGATGTCTGACTGAAGTAGGCTTCGAAATTTTTTAAAGATGTCAAAATTCTCTACATAACATAACACATAATTGCTAATAATTTGCCTTTCTTTAGCATTTCCACCAGAGACACTCAAAGTACTTTTTCAAATAGTAATTAAGTAGACTTGAGCACATCCCTGGGCAGGTATCAATCTCCATTTTTACAGCTGGGGAAATTGAGGCAGAGAAGGGCCAAGTGCACTGTCTAAGATCACACAGGAAGTTCTGTGGCAGATCTCCTGGCTCCCAGTCCTGTTTCTTAATTGGGCTGTCCTTCCTGCTCTGCTGAAAAAGGATGTAACTGCAAGAGTGGAGAATCTCTCTTTACAGAAAAGGGGTTAAAATTTACCCTGAAGGAACAAAGACCTGGGCAGCTTGCAGCACTTGAACAGTACATGATAATGCCCTTCTGACTTCCACCCTTTCCCTGGTCCAAACAAACAAAAAAATCTTAAGAACTTTAGTAACCTTGATTGCAAGTTAACAAATGAGTTAACACTTAAGCTTCAGGACAATAACATTAGGAGTTAAAAACATAACAAATCTGTAAGTTATCAGTTAAGGTTGTCTAAATAGTACAATATAGTCTCCGATCCACTTTGAGTTGATATAGTTAAAAAATAAGGCCAAAATTCTCACACTTGGTGCCTAAGTTGGGCATTTATACAGTTTTCTAATCATGGATTTAAGTGCCTCACCTTAGGCACCCAGATGTGAAAATACTAGCTAAAATTTTTGGTGGTCAGTGAAGTAAACATAAACAATCTTAACTTTGCCCAACACCCCTCAACCATCAACCATTTCAGATGACATTACTTATGTCTTAACAAAACTGGATGTATTGTGATTCAATGGACAAGGAGACCTGTTCCATTCCTGGCTCTGCTGCTGACTGGCTGCGTGTCCACAGACAACTTTCTTCAACGCTCTGCCTCAGTTTTCCCATACGGGGACACTAATGCCCACTTATTTGTAAAGCGCTTTCATGCAAATGCTATATAAACATAATTTGATTATTACTTATTTTTAATTCTGTAGAAGCTTAAATCTTACCTCTGGCAGCAAGAATAACCATGGGAGGTAACTGGGCAGCTTGACATATGTATAGCTAGCATCTCAAAGAAGGCATGTTAAATGATGAATGAGAATTCCTCCAAGGAGGGAAAAGGGTAAGGTAAGAACCAGAGAATGGTTTGGGCTGATACTATTCCCCCATCCTCTTTTTCCTCTCTCTGTGGGAAGTGTCTTCCCCAGCTTCATTCCTGACATTCCTGACAGCCCTCCAGAACCCATCCCTTTCCAAGCCTTCAAGCCTGTCTGCCTTGGTTATTCTCATCTCCACTCAAGCTTTTCTAGCAAACCAGTGCTTGTACTTCCACTTAAATAAAGCTGGAACTAGGCTAATTGTGCAGGGCACCTGGACCATGAGGCTGCCAGTGGCTGGTATGTTTTCCAACCCCATTCGGTTCTTTACACAGTAGTGTGTTCTGTGTGCCAGAAAAACCCTTGTCTCATACATTTAGTGGAAAAGTACTTCTGTCATGGTTCCCTCTGAAGTCATGGTTCCATCATTTTCTATTTTTTCCTGTAAGTCATACAATTGTCCATTAACTAAGGCTAAAGAGGGAAAGGTTGGTAACAGCAAAGGGCAAAGAAAGATTCTGCCTTTACTTGCCGAATCCACTGCAGGAGTGGTGTAGATAAAGAATCATCTGCCTTTTGGGAAGGGGTCCTGTTGAGACAAAGTTGCTTCTGAAAGGAGAGGACTTTTGGAGGCGTGGTGCATCAGACACATCAACATTGAGAACAGAAGAGAGATTTCATCTCCCCTCCCTCCCCCCATCTGGACAGCACATTTCCACAGAGCACCCTTCTTCTCAGAGCTTGTAAGTGCCCAAAGGAGACATTCCACCACCAACCCCCAGGAGCATCATTGTCCCAGAGAGGAGCATGAAGAAGCTGCCGTGGCTCAGGGAGAATTTAAAACTAAGTCAATATTTCCGTTATATACACTCCAAAAAGTATTAGTTATTTTTGTTATATTACAAAAGTAGGGGGAATTTTTACTTGCTTCTTACTGAAAATGAGTTTTATCTAGATCCTTCAGACTTGGCAAAATAAACTCCTCTTGCCATAGAGTAAGCATGTCACATTTTCAGCTTCTTGATTAAACAGATGTGATTAGGCTACATTAGGGTTTTGCAAGCCTACCTCTGGGGCAGAGCCATTGGTCCCATAATAATGGGATGCATTATGTGCTGACACACCTCTCTACTTTAATATCCTGATCCGCACAGGAATCCAGGCAGCTGGTCCCTTGTGCCCAAATGGAATCTCACTGACCCCCATGAGAATCCGTCTAGATGGAAGAGCCCACATGCAAGGACCTCTATGCAAGATCAGGTCCTAAATAACCATTCATTACTGTACTCATATGCCCAATTGCTTTTCACTTTGTAATACTAGTTTGATCAATTAAGCTTTTTGCTCCACAAACATTGTTTCTCTTTATACCCTTGTATATGAATATGCTTATGCTTTGTAAGACTGAAATATATGTAATTGCTAAGTCATCCATTTCAATAATGCAAAATCATTTAGAAAGGATGGGGCAGAGGGGAAGAGAAAAGGAGATTACCTTAAACTGAAAAATGACTAGTTATGTTTTAAGAATAAACACAATTTAGGGTGACAAATCAAATAACTCATTTTTTCTATTGGATATTAAACATCTTAAAATATTTTGGTAGTCTATCTATCACAAAAGGAATCAATCCAATCAAACCCTTACACCCATTTGGAGTTCCAGGGAAGTCAATGGCGTTTCGCACAGGTATAAAGGTCTAGATAGGCGAATTGCTTTGTAGAAGCAGAGCCTCAATTCTGTTCCAGTGGGTCTCTGAACCATACATAGCTCACCACTGGACAGGGATAGAAGTTATCAATTACATCTTGTAACTTTTCATATATGAGCTCCACTGATGTTTTTTAAGATAACCAGATAATTTCTTGGTTCCCATATATTTCACTAAAAAGAAATATATCATTGTCCTTCCTTATACTTTATGTCCTGCAGAATTCACACTGTACCCTCCAATCCCCAGTTAGGAACTTTGTGGTGGACTATTTAGACAGTTGCAGTTAGTATATCGATCAATGTAGCTACACTCAATACTGTAGAAAAATAAATGTCAACCATTGCTGTGCAGAAAATATTTTCTTTTTCTTTTAAGTTCTACCCACTTTATACTTTTTTAGCATAAATTAACCACTTGCAAAAACACTTTTATATCAGAGATCGACTTCTACATACCTGTTTATCAAATGCTACCCATGAAGGAGCATCACTTCCCACACCTCTGGGAAACACAGTATATTTAGGTTTCAGCTTTTGTCCACGCAAAGGTTCACCTCCTATTCCAGGTTTATCTTCTCCCACCAACATAGCAATTTTATTGCAGTAACCCCAATGCTGAGACTTATGAAACTTTTCTTTCCCTAGCTGTAAACAGATTGGAAAAAAGAGAATACGCCATTACTAAATAATCGTAAAAAGATGTATTTAAATCAACAGCTTAAAAACTTCCCTCAAATTAATTTTAATATAAATGGAAATTCTAAAAATATATCATAACCAGAATACTGCCAGTCAAGTGAACCAATCCAGCTGGTCAATTCTCAATACCCATCTTACAGATAGGGATATTTGTATCCTTGATATATTTGATCATATGTAGATGAGCACGCATGAACACACACACACACACACACACACACAAACTTTTATAGTATAAACGTAGGACATAGTACTAGTGAGGGGATTTGGGAAGAGGGGGAATTGTGCTCATCTGTGGAACCAGTTCCTTGTTCGGTCCAACTGTTGGACAAAAATTACTCCACTGGTCCTCCCTCATCTTCTTGTGTGCAGTTGCCCCTATGCCTGTAGAAGGGTGAATAGATCTCTCCTTTCCATTCTTTCCCTGCTTCTGGCAATAGGAATGTATACCCATATGTTCAGTGAGAAGCGAAGTATTGTTTAAGACTATAAGGAGCATGTTCATGGTCAAGGAAGCATAATGAAAGCAACTAAAGAAGTACTCCTTTATAACACAGTGCATCTTCCTCTGAAGCATCTGATGCTGGCTACCTTCAGAAATGGGACACGGGTGGACCACAGGTCTGATCCAGTATGGCAATTTCTTTGTAAAAGGTTTGCGGGTTGCTACTTTTATTCTCCGTCTTTTTTTTCTGATGCTGGTCAACGGCTCTCTTGTTCTGTTTCCTTATTTTCTTACCTTGTAGCTCCTCACCAAACTGGGAAAGGTGGTGTGGAGGAGACATAGCAGGAGAAAGCTTTCTACATTTGAGTTCAAATGGGAAATAAATATAATAAAGCTGAATTTAAAAAGATAAATTTGCAGGCAAAAATGGCTGATTTATACCAAAGGGCTCTACAGAATAGCACCACTTTGGGCACATCTAATATTTCTTATTTTTCCCCCTCTATTACTGAAGCAATAGCTGGGGAGAAAAACACAGTTGTCAAAAGCATGGCCAATAAGTGAGGGAAGTATTTTATCTAGGTAAAGGAAAACAGCTCTCAAAACTAGGTGTTGTGTATCTCGAGCCTGTCCTGAGACAGCCTTCCTGTTGTTCTGTCTGTTTTTTATTTTGGTTAGTTGTGTCTTAAATTGTTAAGTGATCAAGATTTGCTCCCATAGGAATTCTTCCGGAAATGTAACTTTTTATATGAAAACCAAATGGCCGAATAATTAAATTCCATCAAGAATCTTTCACTGTCTGCTGCAAAATCATAGAGGGTTCTACATAAAGAACACTTAAAAATGGTTATATGCAGAATCATTATTAGAAGCAAACTAACCTTAAAAGGTTCTGCGAACAATAAACTTTTCAAACAGTGTGTATGTGCCAGCATATTCCTTTAAGTAAGAAAGGAAGAAAAGCACAAAGGTCTCTTTACACATATACTTTGTTGGTTGCTTTGACCAAACACTGGAAGTGAATACATATGGTATACACTGTGGCAGTGACATCACTCTGACATTCAGGTTCTCTCTGGAAATAATGGATGACCAGGAAACTGAGGGATAAGCAAAGCAACAGAAGTTGCCACAATATCTATTGGCAATTTCTCTCACCATGTTAGACCTTACGGCTATAACAAAGAAGGCAAATTTAAGCTGACCATTTTCTAGCCATGTACCATCCAAGACTTCTTGCAGATTATCCAATATGTTTAGGGATGTGTGGTATTTGTTGAGGAGAATAACACGAAGAAACAGTGATGCACTAGTTCTGGTGGCACTGACTGGAGAGTACAGTGTTGCCAACACTCATCTCATGATGACATGAGAAGCTGCAGCCCCCTTGTGAAGTTCAGCCCTGCAGGAAGCCAGCAGAGTCTTACTCCTCTGCTTGCTGGACTCTCAGGAGGGGTGAAGGAAGGAGGGAACAAAAAGCCCAGCAGCTCAGTGCAGCTCCACTTCCTCCTCCCACTGTGAGAAACACGGACAGGACAGTGCCTCTGATCCGCCCCCTCCCCCTGCAGCACCCAGCCTGGGAAGGGGTAGAGGGGTGGGAAGAGTCCATGGACCTGCCCCAACAGCCTGGAAGGGAGAGACGGCCCCCGCCCCACAGGCCTGGAAAAGAGGAATGAAGAGAAGGACCAGAGGTGAGGCTGGGAGGGACAGGATTAATTGCTGCATAGTGGATATGCAGATGTGGGGGTGAGAGCTCCTACAGCAGGGGCCAAAATCCTCTTACCCAGTACATTTGGGAGAGTGGGCAGCACTAATTGTCACAGACACACTGGGGATGGGCAGGGGGGTGCTCAAAACCGGTCCACCGCTTGTTCAGGGAAAGCCCCGGCGGGCCGGACCGGTTTGTTTACCGGCTGCATCCGCAGGTTCAGCCGATCGCGGCTCCCACTGGCCGCAATTCGCCGCTCCAGGCCAATGGGGGCTGTGGGAAGCGGCACGGGCCAAGGGACGTGCTGGCCGCCCTTCCCGCAGCCCCCATTGGCCTGGAGCGGCGAACCACAGCCAGTGGGAGCCGCAATTGGCCGAACCTGCGGACGCGGCAGGTAAACAAACCGGTCCGGCCCGCCAGGGGCTTTCCCTGAACAAGCAGTGGACCGGCTTTGAGAACCACTGCCATACACAATGTAATTTTTTTTTTTTTAAATCTCATGATTTTGGGGGGGTGCAACTTTTGATCTCTTGAGGTTGGCAACATTGGAGAAGTAGCAGAGAATGCATGAGGCAGCAATTGTCATGGTAACAATAGCAACATTAGCATTGAGGGTAATTCCAGTAAGCTGTTGAAGTCAGAGGTGCATGCATGGAATTTGAGCTGTTCCAAACATTAGTGGCACAGAAGATGAGACCTTCCCCCCCACCTTCCCCCTTCTTCTCAGGTCTGTAAACTCACTTTCAGATCTTCTGAGAAGTACCAGGCAGAACTGTTTGAGAAAAGGTGCATCTCAATAGGATCTCAAACTTTTGGAACAAAAATTCATTGGTCAGCTAAAATCCAGCTTTCTCCCCTTCACCCCACTAATTTAAAAGGGCTGCATGCCCACTATCATCATCTCAGCTGTGTGATCTGCTGCATGGTGGGGTGAGAGGAATTGTGCTTGATCTTGGTATTAAAGCACTGCATGATTGGAACAATAATAGGCATTCATGTTGCTACCACCAATTTAGGTTGGGGCTTTTTTTTGCCCTTAGCCCCAGTGGAGAAGAGAACAGAGAATACAAGTGATGGTACTGCTACCTTGAATGGAGGCAGATGGGACAGTACTAACAGCAGGAGAGTAGGATGACAGAGGGAGATAGTGCCAGGCATGCCACCGCACCACTTTCCTTACCCATTCTGGACTCAAAACAGCTTGTGCATTCTTTTTGCTGTACTTGGGCATATCTCTCATGCACTAAATTTGGGACATCCATTACACAGAAGATTCAACAGATGGATCATAGTTATCAGGCTTCACAAGTTTCTGTCCCAGCAAACAACATTCCCAAAGTGTATGCCTACAGCTTGTGTGGCACTGACTATATGAAGCTCAAAATGCTGCCATTCTACATGGATTAAAAATCAACCACCACATTAACAATAGCAATGCTAGTTGGCCTTTGAGACTTCCTGCTCCTGAAGCTGTGCTTGCTTGTCCTGTTGCTGTAACTACTACTAAGACATCATTGGTTCTTAATTAATCCTGGCCTCATTAGAAGGATCAGGAAAACGGAATTGCACAATATATTTTCCCCTGTTTTTCAATGGAGCATGATAAGTGCCTTAAAAGAAAGAGAAGAAGGAGGGGGCAGGGAGGCGAGTTCCTCCCTTTTCCCTTTGCAAGCAGTGAATGTTTCAAGCTTCTGCTGCCTCCTGATCCATTTCTACCAGAAATCATCCTACCCTCTGCAGCAAATGAAACATCAAAAGTTGCACGGTTTCTGTTAGTTCTGCTGTTTCATCCAGTGAAAAGAGGGCACTGGGGTGGATACTGTAAAAATCTATCTTTAGGTATTTATAAGGTGTATATATAAGGATTTATATATAATCCTTGAGTCTAATTAACTTGGGTGCCCAAATGGTTAGACATTGGTCTCGATTAAGTAGAATGGTCACTAACAGCATAAGCCATTTCAGTAGTAATACTGTTTTCTGGGAAGCTGCCAAGTTGGAAGGAGGCACTATTTACAGTAGGACAGGGACAGGGAATGCTACCTACCAAGTGCCAGCAACAGGGGCAGCTGTGAGATGTCCATCTTAGCCATCTATTGTGTACAGTTGATATGGAAAGAGGAAACAAGCAGAGATGAAACCTTTCTGTATGTGTCATAGCTAAGGAGAGACTGAATGCTGCTGATAGATAAATTTTGACAAATATAGAACCAGAAGGAGACTGAGACATACACAAAGACCTAAGCATCATGAAATCACTTTACAAGCCCCAATTTTAACAAATTCATCATCTCCACTGAGCTAGAATAATTGCCAAAAATCACAAAGCTCAACCAGTACCCCTGAGAGACATCCTAGTTCGGCAAATTTGCTGATTAGGCATGTACAAATCAAAAAAAATGGGTACTTTCACCTCTCCATCCACACTTCTTCTTGCCCTTCACATAGGCATAGTAACTGGCATAACAGTAGCAGTGGGAACAGAAGAGAATGGTCATTGTAGTAGTGTTGACAACAGCAACAGGAAGCGGAATGATGGAATTAACAGCAGAAAAAAAAATAAGCCAAGAGCTAACAGGAATAGCAAGGACAAAGCCACTAATCCTTCTTGTTTTGTAGGTGCTACTGCTGGAACTAGATTTCTCCACAAAAGATGAGGCACTGGTGGTAGTGCTCCTAGTAGTAACCAATGTGGTTTTTATGTTTTCCAGTATATAGAAGCAGCAACCCCCAAAAACATCCAGAACACTGCTACTGTTGCTGCTCTGCACCTGTTGTTCTCATGGTGAAGATAAGAGAAGGGAAGGCAGCTGTGGCAGGAACGGTCCAAACCTTTTTGTTAGTCTGTATATAGTATATAAAAGTATATAAAAGCAGCAACCTCCAAAAACATGCCTCTCAGCAAAATTAAGCATCACTGCTACACTACAGCAAGCATAGCCTTGGAAGACCACCTTAGTGCTGTGAGCATGGTACCATCCGGCTCTGTTGTGTTCTGTACTGTCTTGTACTAACTGTGACTTAATTTTTGAAAATGATGCATATAATTAGATCTCTCTGGACTATGTGTGTGTGTGTGTGTACACGTATATATAATTCAATGAGTTCTAACTATATATATATATATATATTCATACACACACCATATATATATGTTCCTTATCTAGACCTTTAGTATATAAAGCCAAGTACTGTATCTAATCTGTGATAAAGTAGAACCTTCACGGTTCTCAAAGTCTGTTCAAAACTTCACAGAAGCAATAGAGACAACTCCTAACATTTCTCCACCAAGAAAGAAACCTTTACTGATTAAGCTAAAAGGAGCTCCCCTATTAGAAAGAAGGTATAGTACACAATTGAGCAGTTGTGCTTCCATCCAGTGGATAGAGATGGTACACATCTATGTAGGTATTTCTAATGCATCCAGGGTTGCTGGAACTATTTGTATCATAGGGGTGCTGAGAGCCTTTGAATCAAACTGTAAACCCCTGTACATCAGGGGTAGCCAGCCTGTGGCTCCGGAGCCATAAGCGGCTCTTCAGAGGTTAATATGTGGCTCCTTGCATAGGCACCAACTCCGGGACTGGAGCTAGAGGCGCCAACTTTCCAATGTGCTACAAAGTGCTCACTGCTCAATCCCTGGCTCTGCCCCAGGCCCCAGCCCCACTCCACTCCTTCCCCCAAGACCCCCAGCCCTTCTCCTGAGTCTGCCACACCCTTGCTCCTCTTCCTCCCCCCACCCTTCCCCTGAGCTTCCTGCACACCACAAAACAGCTGATTGCAGCAGGTGGGAGGCACAGGGACGGAGGGTTAGGTGCTTCTGGCAGGTGGGAGACACTGGAGGCGGGAGGGAGAGCTGACGGGGAGCCGCTGACTTGTTACTGGGGCTCTTTGGTAATGCACATTGGTAAATTCTGGCTCCTTCTCAGGCTCAGGTTGGCCAGCCCTGCTGTATATGATAGAAATCACTTCAAGCCAGGGGGTGCACCAGCACCTATGAATGCACTCATCACCAGAGTATCTGAGGAATCATATACACACCAGCCAGTTCATTACAAAATGAAAACACAGTAGGCCAACTGTAGTAGTTGAGATAAAGTGGCTCATGACAAAAATTTTAGAGTGAGATTTACACCCCACATCCCACCTCCTACTCTTCTCCAAGAAAAGGGCACCGAGAACAGCAAACGCTAGCAATAACAACCAGCAGCTAAAATATCTGAAGAATGATTACAAAATAGATAAATGAGGCCACATGACTAAGTAGAATATTCTCATGAAGATTTAACTCTCTCTCTCTAGCCTTTGAACCTGAACTTCATTTTGGCACACTCACTTCCGAGTATTTACCTACTGATATTCAAAAATATTTGATAATATTTGTGCTATTCAGCAAATTTATTTTTTAAATTTCCCCATCCTTAATGGACAGATCTGAAAAAGTGGTGGCTGTCTAAACTCTATTTTCTTTTATTTTAGAGTTCATGGTAAGAACCTTGTCCTTCTACATATTTACAAACAGCCATGAATACTTATGGAACTATATAAATAATGCTGTTGTCAGCTATGAATCGTTCTTAACTTTGTTTATCCCTGGTTTTGATTTTGGTGTTTTTTTTTAAACAGTGTATTTGTCTTTCCATTTTTCTTTGTTACATAAATAAGCAAAGTTCAAACTGTCCTAAAAACTACTGGTTGGTTACTCAGTTCTTCCTTGCTTGCTAAATACGTTCATTTTTTACTTTAGCCTTCAAAAAGAAGAAATGTTATAAATGTAACACTATTTTACTTTTGCTCAATAAATGTGTAATGAGAAGGTAGCAAACTCCAGAATTTAAGTTAAGTCTGCTTGTGACAACTACTGTGGAGCCCAATCCTACTGCCAAACAAGTCAACAGGAGTCTTGCCATGGACTTCAATGGAAGCAGAAGAAAGCACCTATGACATACCTATGTTGGAATTTTTTTTGATGTACTAGAGGTCAGTTCCCCCCCTTCCCTACTCCAAGTCCCAGATTTGCTACAAATGTTTTAAAGGCATACTTTATATCTTTTTTTGTTTGCCATACTGTAAGCAAGTCTGAATAAAGTTGTTCTTAGTCAATGCTAGCTTGCAGTATTACAGTATTCATGAAATTGAGAAGCACTAAAACTAGTTTGTAAATGATAATTAGTCCTCCCATCACTGACCCCTGAGGGCAATGTGCTTACTTTACAGCTGTGGGTGGATGCACAGATAAGTGCAAGTGAAATATTATTGATAGTGTGGACACTGTAGTAGTATACCACTTACACTGGGCCCAGACTAATATTTTAATCACACACTATATAATTCTCCAGTGCAGACAAGGCCAGAGAGGATAAGTGTATTGGAAGCAAAGCCTCATATACGCAGAGAAAAATACCTATTGCTGACGACGGGTACAGCTGAAACATTGTTTACCAGCAAGCATAGACAAGGACAAGTTGTGTTTGTCCTCATCTACACTTGCTGCTAGAACACATTTGTAGCAATATTTCCTCAGCTGCAAATACTGCCAACACCTGATGTTGGCAATAAACATTTTTTTAACAATCTTCTGAAAATTAGACTTACACTCCCTTCTCCCCTGGGATAAGCACAGTCATTTCAAATGTATGGGTTTCTAGGACCATGATAAGTATAAGAGAGACAGTGTGAAGCAATCACATCTTGAGTTCAATCAAGAGCTATACTTGTGTATATTGAGAGAATACTGGAAGTTTCAAAGTAGCAGCTGTGTTAGTCTGTATCCGCAAAAAGAAAAGGAGGACTTGTGGCACCTTAGAGACTAACAAACTTATTTGAGCATAAGCTTTCGTGAGCTACAGCTCACTTCATCAGATGCATGCCTTCATTGGGGCTATGCATGCATCCGATGAAATGAGCTGTAGTCCCGAAAGTTTATGCTCAAATAAATTTGTTAGTCTCTAAGGTGCCACAAGTCCTCCTTTTCTTCATACTGGAAGTGATAATGCTGAAGGGTATGTTGTGGAAGAATATTGGGGGAGCCTGGAGTTCATTAGGGTGCACTTGGGAAGTACGTTGCAGGGGAGCAACAACAACACTTGGCTCTTTCAGAGCATTTTTCATCAGTAGATCTCAAAAGCTTTTTATCAAGGGAGCCAAGTATCATTGTCCCTATTTCCCCGCACATGAGAAAACAAAGGCATTGAACACCTGCATGGTAGATTAGTATGGTATGCTGGGGAGATACCTAGGGAGCATATAGAGAGGAACAAAGGGGGAGTTGGGAGTGTGTAGGTAGGTGGGGGTTGATTAGAAAGAATATCTGGGGGTTGTTGCAATCATGGGGCAGGTGCCAGGAGAGGGGTGCAGGGGGAGGTTGCTAGGTGCAGGAGCTACAAGGTGTGTGAGGGTACCAGAAGGTAGAAGCAGTGCAGATGGGGCTCTGATGCAGACCCAGGCGCTTGTGCAGTTGCTAGGTGCCAGGAGTGCTGGGTCAGGAGTAGGGACTCTGTGAAAGGTAGGTGTGATGGGTAAAGAGTACAGGTGAAGGGGCTGAGTGGGATTGCTAGATACAAGGGGCTCTGGTGCAGGCGTTGCTAGGTGCAAGGGAGTACAAGGGGTAGGTGGTGCAGGAGAGGGGCGATGCAGGGTGGTAGGTGCAGGGGAGGGGCTATGTGAGGTTGCCAGGGGCTATGCAGGGTTGCTGGGGAAAGAGCTATGCAAGGAGTGCAGGGTGGGAGGTACTGGGGGGGAAACCGGGGGTGGCTGGGGCAGAGTGGGTGGGGGAGGGCTAGGGGCAGGGGCTATGCACAGGGCTGCTGTGGGAAGGGGACAGGAGGGTAGCGGTGCAGGATGTAGGGGAAGAGGGAGTGCCGAGGGGGCTCTGCAGGGTGGGCAGGGGGCTGGGCGGGATGGCAAAGGACCGGGGGGGGGGGCGAGGAGCGGGGGCACAGGATGCGGCTGGGGGCGGGGTCTCGGGGGCGGGGCTGCCGCTGTCACTCACGCTGCGGTTGAAGGAGTTCCCGGGCAGGAGCGGTAGCGCCATGCTCGTGCCGGTCTCGAGCCCGATGCCGCCCCGGGGCTGGTGTTGCTGCCCGGACCCCGGCCGCTCGCGCCCCCCGCGCTGCCAGGCGGAGAGGAAACGTGAACGCGCTGTTTGGGATTCTGTTGCCTAGAGACCTGCGTCTGACATCACAGGGGGAGGTGTCATGGCATCGGGGCGGGGCCCGGCCGAGGAGTGCCGGCTCTCGGCTGCCCCCTGCGGCTTTGGGGCGGTCACTGCACGTGCCCCTGCCGGCTGCCCCGCCCCTGTGGACGCAGCGCCCAGCCTGGGCTCCCGCTGCTGGTTTCCCTGGGCCGGGGACTCCTCGGGGTTTGTAGCGGGGGGCGGGGTGCTTCCCTTAAAGCGCCAGCTCCGGGAGTCAGGGGATCGGGGCGGCATTTCCGCCTGTCTTCCCCGCTTACGGGCGCTCAGTGACCAACCCTGGTGGCTGTGGAGAAAAGCTTGGAAACGTGGCCCCCTGGAAGGTGCAAAACGCACCCCCTAAAGAGAGAATCTCGTACCTTTTTTGTTTGATCTTGCACGTTACACGGTTCTGACCATGAAATTTAGCTCAGTGGATTTCATTTTCTGCTTCCCATGCACTGGCCCCATGCCCACTATTTGCATTTACAGGATTAAGTGGCAATATGTAAACATTTTTAAACCGTTTTCATTGACATTAAAAAGAAAAACATCATGATGATGTTTTACTCAAGACCTTCACTATAAGTAGTGGCGAGCACGGTTCTGAGCACAAACTTTAAGCTGATAGTGCCCAAGGGAGGTTTAATTTTTCCCCGTAAATAGGACACCCTCTTCGGGGCATTCTGGATGCTCAGTGCACGTCCAAAACATAGTCCAGAAAAGCAGCAGCTGAATGGCCTGTCTGTCCTTGTGTTTCACGTATGGATGGTCTAGCACTGTTTCATCAAAACTGTTTTTCCACAGAAAACTGGATTTTTGCCAAAAAAAAAAATTCAGAAAGTTCTGCTTTCCACAGCAGATTTCAATTTTTTATAAAAAAAAACTGGACTGCCTAGATCCAAAAAGATTTTGATTTTTGGCCAATAGCTGAAATATTTTAGCCAAAAAAACAAATATTTTGACTCTGATCTGCCACCACAGTGCCTGCTCGGCACTGTAGTTCAGTTGCTTCCTATCTGTATCCTCCATGGGTCAGACTCTGCAGGCAGGTGTCAGTTCTCCTTGTGCACCATAATCATGAGACTCCCATAATGCACTGCCTCCCTTCACCGGGGGCGGGGGGGGGGGTATCACAGGCTATATTGTCTGATCAGGGAGCCCAGCCTGTAGAGAAAAATGGGAATATGAGGCATCCAAACAACAACTCAAAGAATCCCCACAGCAGCATTTCCTGATCAAATTACTTTGATTGTTGGTAGAAATATTTCAGTTTTTGACGTTTTGCAGAAAAGTTGAAATTTTCCTTGGGGGAAATAACCTGTTTTGTTACCACCTCTGGTTTCAAAGAAGTTTTGCAAAAAGCTGTACAACTTTTGAAGGTGCCATTGTGTGTATGTAGCACCAGTACCACGCATATGACTAACCCCTTTCTGTGCTGACTGAAGTTCTAAGAACACCCCTACGATACAGGTACCTTCTATATCTATTTCAATGTGTCTTTACCTTTTATTTATCTGTATAGTCCTCAGGAAACACTGTGTATATTCAAGCAGCAAAACTTTCAATGTTAGTAGCTTTCATTTGAAAGAGAGGGTCTGGAGGACATTGACACAAAGCATCTTGGAATGCTTACATGCCAATATGCTCCTATTCTTTTTATGATTATTGAACTAGCATAGAAGCTTCTTTTCACTTCCATAGATCCAGCATCATAAATCCTATCTGAAAGCAAGAGGGGTACTATCAAAAATAGGCTCAGAGAATCCAATTAAAAGGTCTACTTTCATATACATTTCACTGTTAATTCATGGTGAGAAATTATTTCTACTTTTTAAAATTTCTAAGCAAAATAGAGTTTTCTGTTCAGTCTCTGTTGCAGGTATGAGCCCCATTCCATACTACATAAGTTAACCACAGGGAAAGCTTAAATGGACTAGTGCAATTTCATAATAACTACTCATGGACACTTCTTGTATTGACCAATAGGCTGATGAAATGATATTACTACATTAGTAAAATACCTTTTAATACCTCAGTTTTCAACTCAGAAAGAATTGAGAAAGTACTGCAGAGTTTATCCTAAATTAGGTCGGGACAATTCTATAAAGATGTGAAAATACAGAAGTGAGCATGGCTTTTCCATCAGCATGAACTCCTGCCATTATTAAGATGATTTTTAAAAAAGTGAACGGTAGAGAGTTTAAGCACAGAAGTTTCTGGTTATCAGGGAATAACGTACAGATTAGCAAGGAGTGAAAAGTTTGGTTTAAGATAGGATGGTGTGAGGAATACATAATCTGCAATATCCTCGCTTGGGGGTAAAAGGTTGACGGGTCAAAGTACAAACATTGAGATATGAGGTTACCTTGTTCATATAATGGCTATGTTCAGGTGTGGAGTATAATGAGTGGATACGATGATGAGGATGGATTGACCCTCATTTGGTGAGATTTAATATTCAGTGAGTTTATGGTTCCAGTTCATATGGTCCAATGGAAAAAGTCTCTTGGTCCCTTTCTCGTAGTCGATGCACAATGTTATTAAAGCCCTATCGGATCCAAGACAAATAAACAAAAATGCAAACTTTCCTCCTACATACTTTACTTTTGAAATAATGTCCTTAACTTTATCATCTCAAATCATCAGTGTTACCAGCTTTGCCCATTACTTTGCGGTATGCTCATTTATTAGGGTTACTCCTCTGGGGGTGGGAGGGTTTCTGTACTTCTACCCATGTACTGCTTGTGTCACTTGTGTTCCCATATGGAGCTCTACTTCTCCCTGCTGCAAGTTCCCTCTCAATGGAGCTATCCTGCAGGACCTAGGTTCCGCAGGGCTGAATTCTTCCAGCCCCAGAATCAGAGGAACACACACACACACACACACACACACATTAACAGAGCGTGTCTGAGAGGACTGGGTTAATCAGCACTCCCAAGCTGACCCCTTATATGTCCCTGGATTCAGCGGGCTGGGTCGAACAGCACCTCCAAGCTGTCCCCCTCCTATGCCATGGGCACCACTACAGAATAGAGCGCGCCTGAGCAGGCTGGGTCAAGCAGCACTTTCAATCTGCCACCCTCCTATGTCCCAGGTTCAGCACTTCCCTATCCCCACTTTCACGTTACGATTGTTCTGGTAGTAACCTACCTGATGAGCAAACCCCACAGGATTTTTGGGCGCTGCAGGGATCTTTTAGCTTAGGTACGAGAAGCGTTGCTGCAGAGCGAATGAGGAAACCAAAAAACACCTGGGGGACGGTGGGTGGGGGGGAGAGAGAGAGAAGCAACCAGCTCAGTCATGAAAGTTATTTATTGCCAGGTAATAACCATAGGGGAGCCAAACAAACAAAACAGTTATAATATTAAATCTAGCTTAAATTTGATTATAAAAGTGAGGTTTAGAAAACTGTAACTGCCCACACAAGTCAGGGTCAGAAGGCTATACCTAGAGAGAGAAAAAGAGCTGGGTTCTTACCACTCCGTGAAGCTTGAATCGCTCGGGGGGGGCCAGGTAGTGGTGGTAGCTGAGGGTCCGGAGTGCTGGAGACAGGCAGAGCCTCCAACACGATCAGTCAGGAGAAGATGAAGTCCTAATGAAACTGCTGCAGATTTTGGATCCAGGTATCAGAACACTTACCTGAGCATGGGTAGCAGTTTTTTGTAGAGAAACAACAATGGTTCAAGGGAGAACACTAGGTATAAAGGTCTAGACGGTATCACAGGTATTATGTGTAAACTGATAGCTCAAGGGAGTATACCAAAGTTGTTTTGTTCAGGTTAGACAATCGGAGCTGATCATTCCTGGCAATGGGTGGTGTTCCTTGGATGGAGCTCACAATGCAATTTCACTATTTTGGATACCAATAAAGGATTTATTACTAGAATTGGTCTGAATAGCTACTGAGCTGGGTGTATGCAGGCCTGGGTTGGATCATTAACATCTGGAGCAGAGATCCCCCATGATGAAGTGCTACTCTGCTTTTCTGGTCCCAGAGTTCCTTGAGGTTCTTGCCTTGGAATCTCTGTTCTCCATTCTGTATGTTAATGGAGATGCCTCCTTGTCCCATCTTTGATGCAAATGAGGCTAGGGGAGTTTCCTTAATCCTGTCACCCTTATCCCAGTGGTTTAGGTGTGTATCTCACTGCCCTTTCATTGCTTTTTGTAAGTCTTTCTTCTGATCGATTTTGGTTCAAGCAGAGGCTGGGCGGGGGGTGGGGAAGAGGGTGAAAGGTCTTTTGTGAGTCAGACAGACTGGGTACTGTACCCTGGTTTCCCAAGAACACAGAGCTGCTAGGTAACATCGGATTGTAAATATATTTTGAAAGTGTACAAAAATCAGTTTCCTCTCTGTAGCTGAAGGAATGTGTGCTTTCATCTGTCACAAGCAACAAGAGATGGTTTTATACTACAGTATTATCAGCATCCTATTAAAAATCATAAGTAAATTCCAAGTGAGGTTTTGAAAGCCATACTTAGCACAATTAACACTCTGCAAAAACATGTTATTCACTGTGGGCCATATGCTTCTCTGCCTGTGTAAAAATGCAAAGAGTGTAAACACAGCCCTCAAAGTTGCAGGACTTTCAAAAAGCTGCCACTCTCCTGACTTCTGAATAGAGCAGGAGCCCAGGACGAATATGTAACTAGAATTTTTCATTCACCCAGAGATTTACAGGGATACCCAGGGAACACCCTTCAGATCTCAGGCTATATAAGGGTTTCCTTATATGTGGGCTTGTCTTCACTAGAAACTTAGGTCACGTTAGAACATGAGTTTGAGGTGACATGTTAACTAACATGATGTCAAACAGACTTTGCAACCAATATCGGCAGGGACTGTTGTGTTTAATATTGTGTCAGATGGTCATGGAACTATACATTTAACCACAACCAGCTGACATGTTGTTAAACATAACTTGTACAAATCTACACCAGTTGCAAAATTGTGTTTAACATCCCGTTAGTTAACATGAACCCACAACGTTGGGTTTAACTT